AAAAAAAAAAAACCAAAAAAAAGCGAGAAAAGAAAACTTTAAAGATTTAGAGAATGGTAACTGCAAGAAGAGTGTATTTTAAAAACTGGAATAAATACCATCAATAATATTTTAGCAATATTGCAAGAAAAACGGTCAAATTCTTTTAATGCTAGTCAACTGTGCTGAAAACCGTTTAACAAATTGTTTAAAACTATACAGCTTTACAATTTACAATAATATTCCGCCTAAAGCATTGCAGATGATCTAATGCATTAGAAGAATGTTGCTCTTTAGGCATAGATTATCAACCGTATCATACCGATTTACTTCTTAGTGATTCCACTAACATCACCAAGACTCACTGGAAAAGTTCAAGCAGGATCACCAAATGATGGAGAATTCATATTTTCGTTTTAATGACTCTCCATGTTCAGTTTTAGGCAAAAGACTTCAGATTTTTACTGGAGGTTGTCCATATCATCATTTCAGTTGCGTTTTTAACCAAATTTATAGGCAAATTAACTTAAATTTAACAAGAGAAACTAAAGAAATTAGTATCAACACCTTCCTCCTATTGAAAATTACAACTCTTCTTTTGTAAGATCACAAGAATTACATCGTCTTTTAATAATATCAAAGCCTTCAGAAGATATATTTTCCCAAAATTTGATAGAATTTTCAAGAAATGTATCGCGCATTCCTGGATGAGGTGAAAATCGAAATTGCCGAAATGGATTATCTGCAGTTATCCGTTCCCAATGGTAATCTTCCGTTGAGGGGTTTCTGAAAACAGTGTTGCTAATTCAGCGTAAAAAGTTTGCTCCTTTATCTCCTCATAATTAATTCTAACGTTTTAGCCACCAAATTTGTCAGAAACTAAGGACCAAGTAAGCAGAAAAAATGCAAAAAGAAGAGTATAAAAATGGAAAAATTTTTCTGAACTAACCCGAATTTAGCAAGACTGGTAAAAGTATCTAGCAGAGCCTTCTGAACTTTACGATCATCATCATCCAAATCAAAATGTTTGTATGGCGTTATGTCAAACAAATATGGATATTCGTCTAGATGAGTAGCCCCTATAATACAGATAAACAGTTTCAATAACCTACAGAGTTTTCACAATATTTTAACTCATTGTTTAGATATTTGAAAAGCGCATTGATAAAAATATAATCACCTTTAATAGGAATATCCCTTTTATATGAAGTAGGATTGTAGTGAACATTGAAATAGAACCATACTGGCCAGTCATTACGGACCAATAACTGTTTCATCAAAATACATGGGATATTAAACATTGCGTCAGAAGCTAACTAAACCGCAGATAATAACTTTCCTTCGCCAGTGTATTACAACTTTTGGTGTTAATGAACTAAACTGGCTGTTAACCAAGAAATTTCTACAACAACTATTTTTGATCTGAATGTGGTTAAGCCTACATAAATCTTGTTAGCTTTAGTAAATATCGACCAAAAAGCATAGAGCAGTCAAAGAATCTTTGAAAAAAGATACCTGCGTATATCTCTCAAGGAAAAACTTATAATCCCTTGTTTCAGAAGCATTTGACGCCAAATAAAATTTTTCAAGTTTCTTTTGCACTAATCGACTTTTATGTTCAAAAACGCTTTCAGGAGCAGCAAATTTCTTGATAAAATCAACTACATCGTTTTCGCCATAAGTTTCATAATCTGCTGAGTTTATATAAAGTTGGTGAATTGATGGCAAATTTCCTTCAATAGCTGAAAAAATACTTTTTTTGCAGGTTTCCTGAATCCAGTATAAAATATTTTTTAAACAAACTATGTATTTTCTTTTTCTTCTTGACAAATAATCAGAAATAGACATTAAAATTAAGATAGATAATTGAATAAATAAAGAGCTTAATCTATAAAACTAACTGAAAAATGCAGCTTCTTTTTCCACCAGTCCAATAATTGTTGGTTTTTTAGGCGCTGTTTCAGCCAAACTTTCAAAATCTTGTGGGAAAAAGTCACCGTCGAACCTTGGCTGGTATTTAGCAATGTTAAAACCATAGCGTGAAGTGCCCTAAAGATTTACGAACGACAGTGGCCAACATTTCTTTCAGAGGATCACAATCAAAAATCTTCAGCACAATCAGTTTAAAAGAATCAATCAGAATACGATTGACCGTTTTTGTTATGGCTTCAAAAATTTGATCTGGAGTTTTTGTCCGCAGGCAGTTCTTCAGTCCTTCTGTTCCAGTCGTTGGACACATTAGAGCAGTTGCCAAATGTTTGGTGTCATCCACTACTTCCTCACCGCAAGCCCACGGAGCCAAAATTGATCCGCTAATTTCAATGCTGGCAAAGAATAAATCTACAATAATCCTCACGGTGCTTCTAGAAGACAGTGTGTGGACTCTGATTCTACACAAAAAAATATATACAAGTGCTAACAGGAAGCCATATTGACAGATTATTAAAACAAGCTTGCCTGCATTTTGTCTTTTTTTTTTCTTTCTCAGAAACCACCATTATAAACATTGCACCCTGCTATTTTCCAAACCGTCAAATATGAACAATAGTAAAAGAAAAGCAGACCTCGAGAATGAGGTGATAACGTATGAGCACTAACAGATGCTCCACCAGCACTTGAACCAAACAGTGTTATTCTTTCAGGATTACCACCAAACGCAGCAATATTTTCTTTAACAAATTTTATTGCTGCTTGTTGATCCCATAGTCCATAATTACCAGGAAAATTTGAACTACCATCACTCAAAAAACCTTAAAATAAAAATAATTTTAACTAAAAAAAACTTTCTTCTAATATTTATTTTCAACTGAAATAGTAAATATTACCGTTTGCCAACAGATGATAGATTGGCTGTAAATGCTAATAAGCTGGCAAACAGCAATCACCATAAACGAAAATTCGAAACTTACCATAAGGTCCCAGTCTGTATTGAATAGTTACAACAATTATATCTCTTGATGCGAAATTGTTAGTGATACCAGTATAGCCATATAACTTAGAACTACCTATGCAGTAAGCCCCTCCATGAATCCATATCATTACAGCCTTTTTCTCACCATCTTCTGACTACAAATAATAGTTGTTCACTCTTCGTTACCGATAAGAAACTTTCAGGAACTTCACTAACAAAATTTTAAAAACCTTGTTTTGAGAGACATCTGTCGCATGCTAAAATTGAACAGTTTTCCTTTATAATTCAAGTTAAATAACTCATTGACTATCATTTTTTTCTAAATGCGCCCACCCTATACAAACTAATCGTAAAAAAACGGCAGTAAATGAGTAATTTAATAAGATGACGGTTTCAAAAACTGTTTTAGCAAAAGCAACTTTATTGCAGTGATTAAAATAACTCAGATGTAAACAATGCAGATGTATAAGGGCATACTTTCTCCTACATTGGAAAAAGAAGGTAACACAGTATATCAATGTGTAGTTTCTGATTAAATTATTTCAATTAAAATAAAAAATCTTTTTTAACATTATCTTCATAGTTTAAGAAGTAGTACATACTTGATTAGCTGGAGCAATAATATTTAAATATAGGCAGTCTTCAGAATATGGTTCTTCAGCAGCTGAACGATCATGTGGGATGCAACGAGGAGCAAATTCAGTTGCATTCAGGACATCATCCCATTTGTTCAATTCTACCGGTTTCTTAAGATGGATAATTCATGTAAAAAGCTCGAACAACTTGACGTTTTTTTCATCTTCTTATCCCAATTATGCCAGAATAAAATTGCTTTGTTTACCTCAAATCTTCGCTCCCCAACTGGTGGAGAAGCATATGGAATCCCCAGAAATATATTGGCTCTATGGCCTTCAGTAGTCTGTATTGGGAAACCTCGGACGAGTCCATATTTTGTGGTTACCACTAATTCTTCAGCTGATATTAGGCAGCAAGAAAGTAATAATAAGCAAGAAATACACCGTTTTTGCATTCTCAAATAAATGCCATTAATGAATGATACATTGGAACAGAGTTGTACAAAAAAATAACAACTGTTACAATTTGAAATGAAACGCTACATCAACAAATTATTCTACCTTTACTCAGCTTATCACTTTTCAACTTCTGTTCATCTTCTGGCTTTTTGTTTCTCAGTGTGCTTCCTTCAACACGAGAAGGAATCCTGCAGTAATTAAATTTAAAAAGCGTTCAATGAAAAAAAATTTATTCTCCTCTCATATTTTGCAAGAAGACTTACGTTTTGCGGTTTTCAGAGTGAAATCACTGCTTTTTGTACGACGTTAACAGAGGTTGTCACTTGCAGGCAGATAAACACCGTTTAGAAGAACGACAGATTATGAGTGAGTTTAGTTGAAGGTTTTTGGTGATTCTTAACACAAAGTTCAATGCCAGTTGTTCACATATCGCTCACAACTTGAAGGCGGCTCATTGCTGCAACAAATTTCGTCGATCAATAAACATTCATACCGAAAAGTGTGGAATGTGCTGCAAGCAGATATGGAGTTAAGAAGAGGTGATAGATCAAAACTCTGATTTATACTTTCAAAAGATATGACTGAAAAAACAGCAATAAAAAAGAACTTCTTACAACAACTTTGTTTACAACGTTTTTAATACGAGACAAAATGTTATTCTGGAGAAAAACGATAAAAGTTAGCAAAACAAAAACCTTTGTTTGTTTGAAATTGCTGGCAAACAGCAAAAGATGGCATAAGAGGAAACCATTTGGGCAAAAATGTTCAACTGGACTGATACCGAAATCATGTTGGAACAATTCATAACGGTGATGGAATAAAGAATGCATAGGATGACAAAAAGGAATTGAGACAAACTGTTTCACGGACGAAAGAGAGCTGATAACTGTTGTTAAAGGATAAAAATGGTTTAATCACTTTGTTGTTGGTTTCAGCCAAAAAAAAAGAAAAAGAAGGAACTCTTTGCCTTTTTTTATTTTCACAAAAAGATTTGTTGGAAAACGAGCACTAAATATCTTTTATTTCACAAGTGATCCGTGGTACTGAGAATGGTGTTAACACTTTTGACAAGTTTTTTTCGTCGCTGATACTTTTTCACATAACCAGTAGGAACGAAAAGTGTTAGGTAAGAATAAATAGGTTATATTAGAATTAATGTAAATTTTTTTTTGCTTTCAAAAACGTTTTAGTTTGTCCAAAAGGCTATTTGCCAAAGAAAAAACCGGAACACTGAAACAAAGCCCATAAAAAGTTTTTCAAAAAACTTCTTCAAGTGAGAACCTTTCATTTTTCTTCGAAAAAATTGTTGAACTTTACACTGGACGACTCAATGCCTGGTTGAATACTTCTTTTAGTTTTCAAAATCTTGAACACGCCGTGTCGAACTGTCAAACACTGGGAGATGAAAGTGTCATACATAAAAATAACAGTTCAAAAATATGAAAGAGAGGAGGCAGTAGAAGCTTACACTTCTCAGATAATCATCGAGTAGCGTCAAGAAAGCTGTAGGTGCTGCAGAATAAGA